ATCAAACACTCCGCTGGTTATCAAAGGTGTGTCTGTCAACATCTATGGAGGAGAGAAGATTGGTATTGTGGGGCGAACAGGCAGCGGAAAGTCAACTCTGATCCAAGTTTTCTTCAGGCTGGTGGAGCCTTCTGGTGGAAAAATTATAATTGATGGGGTTGACATTTGCAAGCTTGGTCTTCATGATCTCCGGTCCCGGTTTGGGATCATCCCTCAGGACCCAGTACTTTTTGAGGGGACGGTAAGAAGCAATATCGACCCAATTGGGCTGTATTCTGATGAAGAAATATGGAAGGTAAATATTCCTCATTTGTACATTGTGTCTACGCAATATAGGATCAGAGCATTGATTTTGTTTCTGTTTTTGTTTTTTGAATTAGCTGACAACAGTTTTCTGCTTCTGTAGAGTCTTGAACGCTGCCAGCTGAAAGATGTGGTTGCTCAAAGCCTGAAAAACTTGATGCTTCTGGTTGGTCTCTTCTCTTTGTTAGTTTTTGAAGTTCTCCTCAAATTCAATTATGCTCTATTTATTTCGGCAGAAAATACTTTTTGAAAAAATGTTTTTCACATTTTTCTGGCATTTTGTATGATTGGAAGCGAAAGTGAATAAAAAATGTTTTCTATGATCAATAGAAAAAAAAAAAAAAAAAACGTATTTAGGTGGAAAACATTTTTTGGACTATAGGCTCACCAATGGCACCACATTGCCACCACCACTACCCCCATCTCCACCATCCTACCAACACAACCTCTACCACTCCCCCACCACCTCCACTTCCACCATCCTACCACCTCCACCACCATACAACTACTAGCACATTACTTTTAAACTCGTTATCAAACATTGGAAAATGTTTTCTCGACACAAAAAAAAATATATAATTAATTGTTTTATTTTATATTTTTTCTGCTTAAATAAAGCTTAAGTGTTCACATCAGTAATCTTTCAAGTTAAATTCCCTAACAATTTACCTTTTTTTTTCCTCTCTCTCTCCCCTCTGTACTAGTGGTTGATAGTGGAGACAATTGGAGTGTGGGACAGAGACAGCTTCTGTGCTTGGGGAGGGTCATGCTGAAGTGCAGCAAGATTCTATTTATGGATGAAGCAACAGCTTCTGTTGACTCTCAAACTGATGCAGTGATTCAAAAAATCATCCGTGAGGACTTCTCGGCATGCACAATAATCAGCATAGCTCACAGAATTCCCACTGTCATGGACTGCGATAGAGTGTTGGTTATGGATGCTGGTATGTATCTCACTCTTTTATCTTTGCAGTTAAGCTATACATGTAAGCTCAGCAAAGAAGTATAGGAACTTTTGTCAAGATTGCTATGCAAAACACATTATATACGCGAGCCTCCACATTTTTAAGAATTTTGTCACAACTACTTAGGATCGGTGAGACATGGAAAACAGAGAAGACAAACAAATACTCCCTCTGTCCCATTTTGTTAGTCCTTTTTCTCATTTTAGGATGTCCCAAAGTGTTAGTCCTATTTGAATAGTCAAATTAAATAATATTTAGTTTTTCAAAACTACCCTTTTTAAATGGCTAGAAATATTAAAAATTGAAAAAGAGAAGGGCATTATTGGAATTAAGTGCTCTAAAATTTGAATTGAAATGCAACGATTACATATCCCCTAAAAAAATTGAATTTCCAAAAGGGACTATCAAAATGGGACGAAGGGAGTAAGAATTGTAAATCAAATACACACATGGACATTGGATTTAAGTGGTTCACTCCAAAATTAATATTACATCTATGGTCGTCGTATTTTTATCATGATTAGAAAGAGTTATAAGCAAGATATGGAGAACTCTCTCTCAACGACATATACATATAACTAGGCTTACAGGTCGAGTGCCGAATTACCAAACTACCCTTACTTCAAATTTGGGGACTAGTTCCCGTGAACCCCCCTCCTTTGGGCAGGGTGCTCTATCCCTTACAACCCTCGCCAACTCATTGCACAGTTGGGTTTGCGGTCGAGTAGTTAGCATCCTATACTTGTTAAGATTCACATTCACCTAAACAGGAGTAATATTATACAAACTTATTTTTTTTATTACACATGGGTAATATTATACAAACTTATTTTTTTATAAATTTCATATAGAATGATGTGACGTTTATGGCCCTTTCATTTTATGTCAAAACACCCATTATTATGCCTTGTAATTGCAACTTTGCAAGAATGGCGCTGCCCTAGATGAATTTTGTTTATAATTTTTTTTGACTAATTCAAATGGAGTCTAGAATGGTTCTGGTGTGTTGAGCTTTTATTTATGGCCATGATTAATATGACTGTGAACTTAGATTCCTTAATGTTATTAGCTATTTCTAGTTTCATTTTCTATGTTGAGGGTGGGAAAACTTGACTTATTTCTTTTAACTGCGAGGACTGTGTTCAGGGTGCAAATACTCACACAGTTCTGGTCATGCTATTGCTAATTTTCTGCATTGTGGCTTTGATTGCTTTGTACAGGACGGGCAAAGGAATTTGATGCCCCCTCTCACTTGCTTGAGCGGCCTTCGTTGTTTGGAGCGTTGGTGCAGGAGTACGCCAGCCGATCAGAAATATGAACACACCCCTTTTGGTGTCGAAAAATTCCAAGTGCACATAATTCAATCATAGAACCAGACACAACCCTCTCACATATGGTGAGACTCATCAATTTTGTGGGCCCTAACTCTGTGAAAAAGTTATGTTTGGTTTTGTGATGGATTCCGTGCACATAGAAGAGTAGCTTGGTGGCTTATGCTACCTCATATTTGCCCCCATTGCTAGAGGTGCACGCAAAGGCAGAGATTCTAAGCTAACTCAAATTAAATTTTGTAGTCTCTTTTATTTTTGGCTTTAATTGATAGTCTTTTTTCTTTTTGTTTGGCTTTATTTATTGCCTAATGGAATTTGCAGTTGAATAATAGGCTTGATGTACTAGATGTAGTCTTGGTTTTTTTCCCCCCACAGAATATCAGAATATTTTTTTGGTCTCCAGATGTTGCATTCCTTCTGTAGTTCTTCATTTCTATCATTCTTATATTTACATCTTCTTCTTGAATGATAATTTTTTTTTTTTTTGGCTTTAATTGATAGTCTTTTTTCTTTTTGTTTGGCTTTATTTATTGCCTAATGGAATTTGCAGTTGAATAATAGGCTTGATGTACTAGATGTAGTCTTGGTTTTTTTCCCCCCACAGAATATCAGAATATTTTTTTGGTCTCCAGATGTTGCATTCCTTCTCTAGTTCTTCATTTCTATCATTCTTATATTTACATCTTCTTCTTGAATGAAAATTTTTTATTTTTATTTTTTTTGTAACTGTTTGTTTCCTTCTTTCTTCTCGCAGCGCTGTGACATCACCCACTCTTGTGATTTTCTTCTGCACTGCCAATGTTGGAAGCCAACAACTGTAGGCCAAACTCTGCATAATTTGTTTTTGTGAGTTGAAGATTTTTCAAGCAATGTTGAAAGATCTACATACATATATGTGATACACAAATGGTCTGACGATCAGTCAGGTAGAGTGTGTATATGTATATATATAAAATCAAGCTTTGCAAGCTCAATATCATTTTTAAGTTCTACGGAATTAGGATAAATGTTTCATTTTGATAAAATGACAAAGGCATCTCTCGGATGAAATGAAAATTGGATTCATATAACAAGTTTGTTTTTTTGACAATAACTCCTTAAAAAAGCACAATGCAAAATGGTAAATGGGACAAAATATAACAAAAATGATTGAGAATCTTTTTAAATTACACTAGACATGGAAGCAAAATTAATTGAAAAATCATAGAGATTATAATTTTTTGTTCCCATATTTGCATTGTCTCCTCTATTCACTTCTCTCCCTTTCTCCTTCCTCCCCTTCTCCTCCCTCCCCTATTTGCAAAACCTTACCCTTTCTCAATCTTTGCAAAAACCCACTCCAAACCAATCCCTTCCTTTTTCAATCTATGCAAAAACCCACTCCAAATCAGTCGTGAATTACATTTGCAAAGTGTGAAAGCCTACTTTGATCTTCATTTCTTCTCTCTTTTATTTATTTTTTATTTTTATTTTGTTGTGTTGTTGATGATGATGAAAGGGACCAATAGTGGATAGACGAGGTTGAGGAAAAATAAGGTTGAGAGCAGCGAAAGGAGATTGAGATGGGATGGAGGAGGTTGGAGATAGTAGATGAAGACCGAGAATGCAGTGAATGAGACTGGGAGTGGATAGGGAAGGGCTAGGGTGGGTTAAGGACAGGATGATAATGATTGGGAAAAGTTTAAGAATAATAGGGGGGAAGTGAGTGAAAAGTTGCTATTAGAGTATCTCTAACGCTAAATTTGAGTAAAGATTTGATTAAAAGTTTTATTTGATAACAAATATTTTAATGTTAAATTTTTAATTTTCATCAAACAACCAGTCAATCGGGGAGGACAATTGGAAGGATGTCCCAGTGGTAGTTTGGCCTAATGTAAATTTTCTTCAAAAATTTTTCAATTCGGTCGTCCACCCGATTGCCCAACTGGTCAAGTTCGGTCAGTTGTCCACTCAGTTGATCGGCCAGTCATCCATCCGATCATCCACCAACGATCACTATTGAGATTTGGTAAACAGTTAAACGCTCCCTTAATTTAATGAAAAAAGTAGGGTTCCCTGATACCAATTTGGTGAAACGGTTGAAATATTGTTTTCATTGAATTTTTATCAAATTTAAATTTAATAAAAAATTTGAGTCTGAATTGAAAATGGTCTTAGGAAAGAAGTGATTGACAATAGGATTAAAAAGATCAACAACAGGAGTAAAATAGAAATAAAAAATTAAAATTCATACAATTTTGCAATTAATTTCCCACTTTTCATGTCTAATGTAATTAAAAAATATTTTCCAAATCTCTAATATGTTGCTCACCTACCATTTTTAAATAATTTTTCAAAAAACCGAAGTTTTAAAATTTTCATTAATTTCTGAAATTATTCCAGGAAAGGAAACTACCAACATACACAGTATGATTTTAGTGGGACCCAACAAAGAAGGAAATTTGTGGGAAACAGCCGATTCTTTCTCCATCAAACCGCGAAATCAAAAACCCCCCTCCCAAATCGATCGATATCGATCGATTTCAAACTACGAATCGAACTCGCAATTCGCAACCAATCTTTCTTTCTTTCTTTCTTGCTTTGCATTCATGTTCTTCATTCGATTTCTAGCTTAATTTTAACAATTCTAAGCAATGAATAACTCTTTTTCTCTCTCACTCACTCACACTCATCACACAAAACCCTACTTTCCTCTCCTCAAATACAGGGCTTTAACAAGTTCGACTTTCTTTTTGTGGGGTTCGATTCAATTTCTTTGAATTTCACTAGCCAATGTTTGCTGAAGATGGTAGTTGTTAGATGGGTCAGCGTAGTTGTTGTTTACTTCTAGGAATTAGAAATTCTGGGTCGAATCAATGGGTGCCATAACGAGCAATCGAAGGCGCGGTGACAAATACCACAACTCGAATTTCAAATTCCCATCTTTGTATTCGCCCAATTTGGATAATCGAATCGATACCCACATTTCGAAAAAACCCAAAACTTCATTATTTATGCGTCTGAGTCCCGAACGATCGTTTTCATCAAGAAGTTCAGTTTCTAGAATCTATCAGTACCCCGAACCGGTGCATCGGATTCAAAGGGAAGTTCATGCCCCTTGTAGAAAACCCAAATTCGGGTTTTCGGCGAGTTCGAATACAGAATCGAGGCCGAGTAAGGAGGGTTTAAGTGATTCAATGGGGAATGTTTTCAGTTTGAAATATGATCAGGCGAAGAATTGCGCTTGTAAGGCTTTGAGGTATTTGAAGAAGGGTAAGGAAGTGATTGAGGTCGATGAAGAGACTGATAAAGATGGTGTTTCTGAGGATTCAAGCATTGAGGAGGTTGGAGTTGTTGACGATGAATGGCGTGAAGGGAGCTCAGTGGTTTTGGACCGGAGGTCACGGGAAGTTGTTCCCAATTCTTTGGAATTGGAAGGGAAGGTTGTGGAGGGAAATTTTCGACCATCTTCGTCATCAGTGGTTTCTGATTTGACAAATGTGAATTTGAAAGTGGACAATGCGGGGAAGTTGTTGGACTCGCTTTCATTGGATCGGGAATTTGATGTTTTGGGCTATTCAATACACAAAAAGTTGTATGAGACTGCAGAGAGGCGGAATCCTAAGTTGAGCAGTTTGAGTTTTCAAATTGAATTAAATGAGAAGCATCGTGCTTCATTTCAATCGCTACAACGTTTCAAGAAACCAGAGGAGGTGAAATGTCATCACTGCTTTTATTTTTGAAAGTGCTACCTACATTCTTGTATTTAGGGCTTTTTTTTGTGCCTAAGTTAATTGTTTCCAGGATGTATTTCAAGATGTGCTTCGTGAACCTTTTGTGCCTCTTACAAAGGAAGAAGAGGCTGAGGTTTCTTGGGCATTCTCTAATTCCAATCGGTATGATTTTGATGAGTACACCATTTTGTTTTGAAAAGGGGTCACTATTGACATTCTAATCTCTTTGGCTTACTTTTGCAGGAGGAAGGTCTTGGTTACACATGAGAACTCTAATATTCAGATCAGCGGAGAACTTTTGCAATGTTTGAGACCGGGCGCATGGTTGAATGATGAGGTGATTTTTTATGTGTGTGTTTGTGTTTTTTGGTTTTGGAATTAACCCTCCATGATCATGACAAATGCATGGGCCGGCCCTAGGCTAAGGCTGGTAAGGCCTGTGCCTAGGGCCCAAAAAAGGGCCCCCAAATTTAGTCTTGTAGTATATTAAAATTTGAAGATGGCCCAATTCTGTTTAATTAATTTAGGCCATTTTAAAGGAGGCCTCAACAAATCTATTTGGCCCAATTGATAAAAGGCCTAATTGAAAAATATTTATAAGTTTTAGTTGTTAGTCCAATTAAAAAAATAAAATATAAAATATATGTATATGTATTAGTCGTTAGCCTAATTTTATGTGACCTATTTTTTTTTCTCTTTATGGCCCAATTATGTGTTTTTTAGTATTTTTTTAAAAAATATTTTATACAATTTTTGTTTATTTATTTTGTAGATATATCTAATTTAGATACGCTTAAAAACTATAATATTTATATTTTTTTGAAAAAATGTTACCAAATACAAAAATATAAAAAAAAAAAATACAAATTGTAAACTTAGACAATTATTTTTGAAAACTCTAAACCAAACAAAGTGATTTTTATTTTTATTTTTAATAAATATCTAAAAAGGCCCCGAAAAATTAGTTTGCCTTTGGCCCCCGGAAACTCAGGGCCGGCCCTGGACAAATGTACGAGGTCTTGATTTAATTCTTTGTGTAATGGTTGAATCAGACCATCCAAATAAATATGTAAGCTTGTAATGCGGTTCTTTGACATGAATGGCTGACTCTCTTCTCTTGTAGGTTATAAATGTGTATCTTGAATTACTAAAAGAGAGGGAAAAGAGGGAGCCCAAAAAGTTTTTGAAGTGTCATTTCTTCAACACATTCTTTTATAAGAAGGTTGGTATTATAATTACTCTGCCGCCTACCTTTTTAGGCTAAGTTGGCATAATATTTCTTTTAGGATTTGTGTTCCTAACTTTTGCACATTCTTTCAGTAACCCGCTTACCTTATGAGATCATTTCCCCTATAATCTTTATTGTTTCATACCCTACACATTTGATATATGTAGGGTATGAAATTTCACTCTAGTGAATGATGTGGTAGTCCCATATTTCCATTCCACTCTGTGGCCATTACTGCTATTAACCCACATACTACCATGTCTTTTCTTACCATCTCTACACATTAATTTTGCTATTAATCTTTCCCTGGAATCCCCCTCTATCATTCTATTCTATATATGTAATATCAGATTTACTGTGAAAATTAGAACTCACAAACTAAGATGACTTTTCATACATTTGAAATATTACCTACTCAATTATATGATTGGTCTTGATCTTTCATGTTCAGTCCTACAACTTGTTGCATGCCAAACAAGCCTTTTGCTATTAATATTACCTCACAAATGGGCGAAGAGTGGGGCATTTCGTTGCTTTTATTTGCTCATTGAAATGCATTTTCGCTATGAATGTAATGTCCAGTTAATCGGTGGGAGGAATGGCTATGATTTTAAAGCAGTTAGAAGGTGGACTACCCAAAGGAAATTGGGATACTGTCTTCTTGAGTGTGATAAGGTGAGTTGTATGCCATTTCTTATTTTCATTCACTACCAATTTGTTTTGTTTTGTTATATTGTGTGTTATCTGTATATTAATTTAGCTAATGTGCTCAGATATTTGTTCCAATCCACAAAGAAATTCACTGGTGCTTAGCAGTTATAAACAAGAAGGACAAGAAGTTCCAGTATCTTGATTCGCTCAGAGGAATTGATGCTCAAGTGCTGAAAGTACTGGTATGCTTTGTACTTATTGTCTTGTCATTCATGTATTGGGATGCATGAAATGAATCTAGAAGTTTATTGTACGTTTCTTTGTTTTTATCCCTTTTTTTTTTCTTTTTCTCTCAGACCTGTTAGTTCTTCATTTTTATGGCCTGCCTTTTGTGTGAGAGAAATGAAGAGCAACTACCAAGAACCCAGGCCAAAAACATATATGTAAATAAGCTGCCTGGTATGTTCTATATCGTACTACGTAAATATATTAAGGGGAAAAAAGGAACACACAATGTGTCTGCACATTGGGTATATGTGTGAGAAATTATAGAGCATCAGAGGCTGCAAATTCAAAACTATAATCAGCGGTATTTATAGGTGGTTGTTGCATGTTATGTATGACAAAGTGTGGATGTCACATGTGCATTATCACCTCACTCAGGTCGTGCATGTTTCTAAGTTAATGCATTGTCTAGATTTGAGCTTTTTGTGTTTCAAAGCCTCTGGATTGGGTAATTTTGAAATAGTATTGAGGGCAGGCAGATATAGTCTTCCTGCTAAGATGTTACAGTCATTAGCTTTTTGTGTTCTGATAAATATGAAGTTTTGAGTTGTTTTTTTCTGTCTTGTCCTCCTAAAGTACTTCAAATTATGTGTGTTTTCTGTGTGCTTGTGATTCATGTTTTTATAAATGTTGTTTTAATGCCAGGCTAGGTACTTTATGGATGAGGTGAAGGACAAGAGTGGAGAAGACATTGATTTTAGCTCGTGGAAGCAAGAATATGTTGAGGATCTTCCTAAACAGGAAAATGGGTGTGTATGCTTTTCGACTTTCTTTTTCTTTCACAATTAATCACTTGAAGATTCTAGATTAGCAAATGGACTTACGAAAAAGAAAATTTGTTGTTAAGTGGAATGAATTTGTATGGCCAAAAGCATATATTTCACTAAGAACAGAAGAAGAAAAATAGTAAAAGAAAGGAGAAGATATGTTTAGGCTGATGTAGAAGTCTTGGAGTTTGTTTTCTCCATTTGTATATTGAAATTAGCTTTGCAGCTATTTGGTTATTGGGTGGTCAATGACAGCCACGTTATCATGATGGTAAACTACTGAATTTTTAATTGCATCAACTTAACAACAACTAGGAAGTTGCTGAAGTGAATTTTTTTTCCCCAAGTGAGAAGGAAAAATTGACATCTGAGCTTATTAATGTTTCTAAATTACAGATAAATGACTGATCTTTTTATTTTTTGGGGGGACAGGTGGGATTGTGGCCTGTTCATGATCAAGTATGCTGACTTTTATAGCAGGGGTCTGGGATTCTGTTTCAACCAGGTAAACCACAAGAATTGTACAGACCACTTTTGTGAATGCGTGTGCCTGTATCATTCGCTTTCATGTTGCAAATTCCCTTCTTGATTTGGCTTCATTTCATCAGAGTCTAACATGTGTTACCTAAGCTATCTATTATGAAGCACATTATTATATATTTGCCAATTTGAAAATATGAACGAGGATGAAATGGAGAGAGATGAATAGTTAGAAGGAAATTTGCTGCAGCTTTTACATTTACCTTTGTCTGAAATATTAATCTATTATTCACCTAAAAAAATAAAGAAATATTCATCTAGGAATATGCTATGCATACCACAGTAGCTTCCTTTTGGTGGGAGGGTTACAATATGTAGGCACTTTCCTGCCCTTGTTAAAATGGAAAGATTCAAATTGAAGGTGTGTCGTTTGTGACCAAGTTTTCATCATCTCTAAGAAAATTTTCAGCAGAGTGAGAAATGACAAGAAGAGAGATTTTTAGTCATTATGAATTCTTGAAATGATCTACTGCTAGTGCAGCAAACAAATTGAAATCAGATTTAATCAAATTGTTTCCATAATCAGTCCAGTCTTAAAACTGATCTCAGATTACGAGCTGCTTTGGCTACCATTTTCTTCCATTGCTGCGGTCTTGATGACTGATTTGTACCTTCAAATGTTGTGGTGACTACTGCAAATGTTGTGCTGACTATGGTGATTTGCCAATGCTGTGTAAATAGTAATGCAATGGAGTTTCATCTTGTTGCACCCACGTTCTTGCTAATATCCATTGTAGTGCATAGATAGGACTGTCATGTTGCTTCTGCTCAAAAATTCCATTGGATAATAAACACTGTGCAATGTATTTCTAACATTTTTTTCACCCCTTGTAGGAACATTTGCCATATTTTCGGCTGCGGACTGCCAAGGAGATTTTAAGATTGAAAGCTGAGTGATGTTGATATGAACTTATTTCTCTGATGCATATTGTATTTCCCTCATGCCATTCATTGGACATAGAAGATTGACTGACTGAAGTTTGTGTGTGCTGTGTTTATGGAGGATACTTTTACTTCAATCAAGGCTTCTGAGGTGATGACCATTTGGCAGTTATCGTGGGCTGGGAATCAAAGATTATCAAGGACAGGGCAATTTGTTTATACCACATTAAGTTGTGCGAAACTTACCTTCTTGTAGGTCTGATTTTGACACTAAGGTTTCCATTCATTTAAATTTTTTTTTTCTTTTTCCAGTTTTGGCCCTGTATGTGTGATGACTGATGTGGCCTCCTGTTCTAACTGTATTGAAGTAGTTAGCAATTGCAATGAGAAGCATTCGGTTTTGGTTCTCTTGAGAAGATTTTAGCATTGTATGCAGAATTTCTTCTGATCAAATGCAGGAAGGTTAGACATCTAGTTCGGTGAGGGCAGACGTTGATCATCTGGTAATTCAATTCCTACGGCCACTAAGACTTTCACCGCCTCATGGTTATATAGTATGATGTTCATTTGTTTTTATGGAAGTAGAATAGTGATCAAGATATACAGAACTTTCTAGGGAAAAAAAAAAATCCACAAAAGACTACAAGTGTATTTTATTTTATTTTTTAATTTTGAGACAATTTAGCATATTTTCATCTTTAATTTTTTTTTTTTAAAAAATAATTGTGTAGCGTCAATGGATTTAAAAATTTATTAAATTAACTAATTAAATAAAAATAAAAATCACCAAAAACAAAACAAAACATTACAAGTCAAAAAAGTAAATGGAGTTCAAAACTATGCCGGGGGAATGAGTTTAGAATCACAAGACCAAGCACAGCCTAGAACACTGGGATTTTTTTATTTTATTTTTTCATTTATATCTTTTTATTTTTGATCGTCTAATACAAAATTACCACATTGTTTTTAATCATTAAGTAATCAAAAAACTGAGCCGTTAAACAAAAAGAGTTCTGCTAAACAAATCAAGGGTTCCACAAAACAAATAAAGTTCTTCAAATACATATGGATTACAAGAAATCACATAAGTAAAAGTATCTATTTCACAACTTTCAATTTTTTATTTTTTTATTTTTACTTTCTCTGAAAAGAAATGTCTTTTGTAGGTTGAAAAAAGACATTTCTTTTGTGGACAACAGCTGGTTGCTGTTTCACAGGGAGTACACTGCCTCAACGGGGTACTCTCTTCCGACACAGTATTTCTTGTTCTTTAAGCCGGTGCTGGAACCTGGCAAGGCGGGCTTGAAGGCTGACCAGACCTGCTGCTTTCCGCGAGAGCACAAAACTCAACCGAGTTACATAATTGTCAATGAGACTGCCTGGTTGATCCACTTCCGCCAACAGTTTCATTTCCTGACATCCATAAGCCAACCAAACAGGTTACATAACTGCTAGATTCTTGGAGAGTTGTTTTTTCCCCTTTCCATTGATTAATTTTGCCATAGGTAAAATTACAGATGTTCAGCTAGAAGCACATGAGTTCAAAATCTTGAAGGAAGAAAAAACTATACCGTTCAAGAAACAAAAAAATGCAGACTCATAGTTCAAATCTAATCATGCATAATAAAGGAAAAGGGGCATTGTAAAACCTACCCTAATTAGGTAGTGGACTCACAAAACTATTGACATTCTACTGGATAACCCATAGATTAAATTTGTGCACTACTACCAGGGTGACAATTGGCATGACTAGATACACAATGAGAGCAATAATTCCTTCTTCATTGCTCTCTCTCTCTCTATACACGTGTGTTATTCTCTCTGTATACAACACTTGGAAACCATATATACCTGTTTCATAATAGAGCAACAACGTAATATAATAAAATAAAAAATGACACCAAGTTATGTCATGAATAATAAAATTTTTATGGCATATTGATAAACAATTCTACAGCAATGACTTCAACAAGAAAGATTGGAAATACGTAGGAGCGCAAAAATTAAGAGAGAAAAAGGAGACCCTTGAGCTAATCTGAAAAGGGGAAAAAAAAAATCTTTCATTTCCGCTGGATATTGATATCCCTTATAATATAATTCAACTTAGTTAATAAGTGTGGCCCAAATGCAACTTAAGTAAATGAACATCGTAACACCTATGGAGGAGAGAAAGAAATTTCACTTACTTCTCGAACAATCTCCATTGTATCTTCAATTTCTTTTCTATGTGCAGCAATTAGGGCCTCTTCTTCCTAAATGTGAAAGCAGGATAAACCAAATTTAAGCCACATCGAAAATTTTGTAATGTGGCAAAACAACAGAACAGCGGTGTGCAATTATATAACCAACCTCAAGTATTTCATTGATATTCCCGTCAGGAGGAGGCAGCTCAGGTTCATATTGTCTGGATCCTGCATTGTTACTAGTAAAATTGCTATTGTTTTGCTGCTTGTAACTCGTAAAATGATCAGATCCACTGCTATCTTTTTTCAGCCAATTCCCTGGCTTTTCAGGTTTTTCATCCCTTTGAGATTTTCTTCGAGGGGGTGACACCTTCTGCACTCTTTCTTCTGTATCGCCTGTGCTTTGCGAATATGATGACGAATACATTTTTTGACTTGTTGAACCACCAGAATTTAGTTTATCAACCCTTTCCCGTTCTACAGCACCAGAAGTCACTCCACTACTATCCTCATGCCCATTGAAAGGATAATTTGATGGAAAATTTGAGGGATGTTTATTGGACTCAACAGGATTGTAAGACAGATTCTCTTTCTCTACAACCCTTCTACCTGTATCAAATTTTACTTCTTGATTCTGCTCATAAACATCCTCCACATCAGCAGAAACAGGAAAAGTTGATGGTGATATAGATTCCTTGTTAATGGGTGCTAAGCTTGCAACTTGATCTTTCTTTGCATTTCCACTTTTCGAAAGACTTTTAACCCTGTTGATTTTATGATCATCCTTTTCAGCTAAAAAGATAATAGATTGAAGCACACAAAACTGTTAGGTGATGTATTTGTTGAAACTTCTAATAAAAATGTGATACCTATCAGCATATCTCAATGTATTGAGCGTGTGTTCACATGAGCCTGCATTTGGAGAAATGCAAGAGATCATCACGGTCCTTGAGTTGCCAACAAAGGAGTCACGAAGTACTTCAGTGAGTTTGCTCCCACGAAATGGGATATGAATCTGGTCATTGTCAAGAGCTCGAATACATTCCTTAAGAGCCAAAAGGCTCTTGTTAATTTCAGCTCCCTCAATCCTGCAATAAACCAAAAGAATAGTAACTATAATTGCAATATTGCAAAAAAAGTGGAATATATATATCTGTCGAGATATTGCTTCAAGCACTTTGTAAAATCAAAATTGTCGTACACTGCTGGAAAAACTAATTCAAAATATATACAAAAAACTGATTACTAGGCAAAGGACTTGGGATGTCACAGTGGAAGACATTAAAACCAACAGAACCCAAGTAGATAACGACCAATATCTTAAAACCTATAATTTGTTAGAAAAGGAAGTCAAGTGAAGGCTTTTTGACATTGCAGAAGACTTGTGACTTTAAACAAAGCATTAATTTTCGATTCAGCCAAGACATCTTACAAATCCATTAAAAACCTAATTCCTTTCCTTTCCTTCTTTCTCTAATCTTAGCAAGGTTTTTCCAGGAAAATGACCAGATACTTGCAAATTGAATGACTCTGTCCAAACAACTCACGCAATCCAAGCTCACTTCGAGAACCCCTGCAGCTCAAATTAAGCTTCCCACAATGGAGACTGAGATGGGTTAGATTGTGGGCAACTTGTTCAGTTTCCAGGGTTCTCCTGTTGGCCCTCAACCCAGTCCAATTGTAGCACCATCTTTCTACATAAACTTGGCCAGTTACACCACGTCCAGATCAGACATCATGAAATTGAAGATAATACATACGAACTTATCAGTCTACTATTCCAACCAGACAGTTGTCTTTAATAATAATAGTCCTTTTTTCATAATATTTCACTTACCTAAACATTTACAAGCAAAATCATAACAAGGCCCTGAATATCGAGTTCTATCATAATAACATTACACAACAGAAATCACCCACACAAAAACCTCAGGTTTAGTAGCCTCCTTACTGAAACATCAGCCCAGTCCCCAGGATACAATTCATCAAACAAAAATTGAAAGGCCAAAAAACACTTGAAATTTGAGCAACGCAGGAACAAAACAATGTAATATGTGCAATGATGAGCCAAACAATTCCAATGAAAAAGTGGAAATATATGTTTACATCTGTATGTGTGCTTATTTGCAGAAATATGTACCGTGTTTGTCGGTCATTATCAGTTGTATCAGCTCCTCTTTCACTACCAGCAAGATCAATGAAAGAAATCTTCCCCACAACCCTCCCACTCTTGGCCTCATTTCCATCATTGTTCCGCTTGGAGTCTTTTATTTCAATGTGCTTCTTAACAGCCAGTTGTAATATAGCATGGGACCTCGAAGATTCCTCATTAGCACCAGTAGAGCCGGTACTTCTAGCTGCATTTCCCCTCTCAATATATTCTTTAACAATCTGTACATCTGAAACTTCAAATTCTTGCAGTCCAACAATGCAAACTTGTTGTCGCCCATCTTCTCTCATACAAAGTTTCCTATATGAGAACAATCAAAGAAGTTCCTATTACTGATACACACCCATCAAGCATTTAGGCATGTGAGCTAAGCATACATTAAATATTTGATGGTTAAACATATATATTCACTTATAAATATTTGATGGTTAAACATATATATATTTGACGCAATCTTGTTGCCTTTCCTTTTAGCTTTATTTGGTCATTTTAAATTCTTGGTATTTTTTGATCACTTATACATATTTCTTCTGACACATGGGGGCAGTTAAGACTTTGGAGCAAACCTCACCTGCAGATAATTGGGAGCCTAACCCATCAATCATCCTCCAGTCAAAGCACTGCCATGTCTCATACTAAAAATTCAATAATGTACATTCATCCATGCAAACTTTTGACTCCATATTAATTACAAAGAGATCTCTACTTAGACACAAAACAAATATGTGAATAAGCGACCAAACCAACATAAGCAATATTGAGCTCCCTCAACTTTTCACAAAAATAAACTCATGTTTCACCGGTTTTCTTTTCTTTTTTTGTTTTTTGTCTTTTTTTTTCTTGGTAGGAAAAGAAGAAAGATTGCAGAACAGTTGAACGACGAAACAAAACTGCATACAAAATTTTTCTTTTCAAATGTGATGCAGTGCACCATACTTCGTAAAACTTCCTACAAATGCTCTTTTCAGTCAAATACAAGATCAAAACAGAAAGAAGGAAAAGAAGCATAAAGCAAAGACAAGAGACAAAATCAATGGCAATACTAACTTTCTATCACTAAGAAGATCAAAGAGTTTTCCTCCATATATCTCAAAAAAGCTAAGCCACAACTTGAATCTCTGATTGCGATAAGTTGGATGATGCAATAATCTGACAAGATCTTCTACTGCTCTGAGAGGTAATGGTTGCATTGTGAACGTCTTACCACTTCCTGAAATTATAAAGTAGTACCATATCAATTATCCACCTATGGCACTAAAGTAACTTCCAAATTGGAACAGATCACACTCATTACACCAAATATTGAGATACACTAAATGAATATATGGCATTGAAGAACATATATATATGGGCATAATGAAACTAAGTAGCACACAACTTACTTTCAGGAAGTCCATGCATCAACAAAGACAATATAAACACTAATGAACTAGCAGAAATGCATCCTAACATCTGACAGAACAAATATATGTTTTTCTTTAAGGCAAGCATATACTATCAGACCAGATAACATGGGAAGAGTGAACAGGATCACACCTGTTTGACCATATGCAAAACATGTTGCTTTTGTTCGCTGGAAGATAGTGGGGATAATTGGCTCTACAGTTGCACGATATACCTGTTCAAGCAAGAAGCAATCAAACCATTAATATTACAAACCAAAGATGAGAAAAGTTTAGGGCGCATTTGGTATCATTTTCATTTCCTGCTTTTTGTTCTTGAAAACAGGAAAAATGGAAACTTATATGGAAGAACAATGTTGCGTAGCTCGAATTTCATCTTGCCCGAATAGCTTAAATTTTGGCTTGCCGGTCAACCGGCCAGTCATCAGGCAAGAAAGCTGACAGACAAGGTGACAACCGCGGTAGACAAGTGTTTCATCTGTCGTCCAGGTGGTCGTCCGGCCGGTCGGCAAGCACAAATTCAAGCCATTCGGGGAAGCTCAATTCGAGCTACCAATGTTTATTGTACATGGAAAACTGTTTTCTAAAATTTCAGGAATTTTTTTTAGACCCCCTTTCTAGGAAACACTTTAAAATTACTTTCTGAGTTTCCAAAAACTGCTTTTGCACAAATATGAAAATGATGGGTAACTTTTCATTATTTTTGTTTCAAAAAATCACGAAAAACGAAATCAGAAAACAAAAATTAAAAAAAAAATTGAAAACAAATACTTCCTAATCATTAACCAAAAGAATCTGGCAAAAAAAAAATAGGGTGAAGAACCAAGGAATTCTTAATTTATGGAAGCTTAAGTCACAACCAAACATTTAGTTTCACGAGTTCTTTGTGTGTGTATAGAACAGTCTTGAGCAACTTCAATGTCTAGTTAATAATGGTATTATTACCTCATCGTTGGATACATGCTCATCTAGAACAGCATCAAAACAAAATTCATGCTTCTCCACATAAGCAGTCAAGTCCACCTTTGCACCAAAACCAAAAGTCAGTTCCTTCAATGGAACATTAAAAAAAAAGAAAAAAAAAAGTAATATAATACCAAGCTAGCAACAATCCTTCCACATCAAATTCAGAATAAATATTAATTCATGTGCTTCTGTGGCAGCTGAAATATATCCAAACCTTTAGCTTAGGTTCATGAACTGTTAAATAAGTATTGTCACACACAGACACAATGTCCTCCTCCTTCCGAGAAATCTCCTTCTTGTTTAATGGTCTTTTACGGACCTGAGACAAACATCAATGAAATTACTCGAAGAATTATAAAATAGTGCAATAAAATAAATTTCAATCATTGACTGACGAATCATGGGAGGAAAAGGCTAAGGAATGATTTTCTGGAGGGACTCTATGGAGCCGTGAACAGTAACAATAGCTGGCTTGTGATCTTAGGGAATGCTCTTGTCAAATAGAATTGCTTTAAGGGTACAAAAAAGTAACCAAATTCTGGATTTAGGCCAGAAAGGTACTTTTGAGGGGCATTTAAATGTCCATTTTCAAAATTACAGTGGCAACAAAAAGTACCTTCTATTCAATCTCCCTATGGGGTAAAAGGGGTTTTAATAAAGGTCAGAAAATAAAAGAAATAACAAGTGAAAAAAATACTAGCCACATTGTTTAATGTTGCACAGCTATATAGACTTTTTGGCACTCCACCAGGTCAATTTCATAACAAATACAAATAAATAGAAAAAGAGCACGTGTAGCTGACAACAGAACAACATACCACAACTTTTATCTTAGCCACATTGTTTTCCCGTGTACTGCTCTCCTTTTCAGTAGGTAATCCAACTAAGGCATCGGTATCTGTTTGCGCTCTTCCCTGCCTGCTGGTCATCACATTGAAGTCATTGTCAAATGCTTGTGTGACAGCAGGCATGAACGGTGAGGGTTCAAACGGTTCTGAGATAACATGCTGAAAAATAAATCAAAACAATTATCAGTTAACTAAGGGAAAAATAAAATAAAATATGCATAACATCCTCTGTACCTGATAAAAAAAAACAAAACAAAAAACGTATTTTCATTGTAAAAGTGACTGACTGCAGCAAAAGTAAGATTTACCTAGCCAGATACATGTGCATCCATACCTCAGATAGAAGCTCTGTATCATCCATAGCATGAAGATCCAAAAGCCCTGCTCCAAAATCTCCCCTGAAGTCGGGAGAATAAAAACCTTCTGATGCACCCATCCCACCCAAACTTTGGGCAGGCGGAGTGTATAGCTCAGAACCAGATTCTCCATTTAAATTGAGGTTTCTCATTAACTTGAAAAGCCTTTGCTTTTCATCAGCCGATTGTGGTCCATAACCCTTCAAACAGTTTCCCACTATCTCACATTAGAATCCCACTAAAGTACATAGACAAGACACCCTGGACGACATTTACAAATCAAATGAAAGGAAACTGACAGTTATATTTTCTATTTTAATCGACCATAATGAATCTGAGGAAAACTTTAACAGATATACGTAGTACGATCAAAATTTAAATTAAAAAAATAATAATAAATAAATAAAGATTAGTCTTGCATTGTGTTTCAATATGCATTATGATGCATAAATATAGTGAAACATGCATTACTTTATCAACATAAATGGGACTACGGAGCATCAATCATAGAGTACTGAACTAAAAGCAGTCATATAATTCATATTTCAACAAAAGTTACTGTTGCATTCCCATAAAAAAGACAAAATGAAGTAAACAAACAGGCATAGAAATGAATTTGAAATGTAGAGATACCTGCATGAGAAGGTTAGGTAGGAGGCGATGATCAATTCCGGTAGATGCCAAGGGTGAGGCCAGATGCTGCAACCCGGCGGACTGGAGCCAGCGTGCCATGACTGCATCTCCAGCATCGCTCCCGGGACCCGCATTGTGCAGGGACCCTCCGCCAGGGTGATCATACAGAGCAGTTGCCGCAGCAGCATTGCTCTGTTGCATCTGGCCACCCATGTGGCGCTGTGATCGGCGTTGGGGAGCCAATTTTTCAAGATCTATTAAACAATGCTACAAACACAGGACACACGAACAATTCAGTCAATTCAAAAACATACATCAACAAATCTACTGATCCAAGTAAAATACACTCACCCGAAATTGATAGGTTAAATTCAAAGCAACCACACATGAACGTGATTTCCCTTCAAATGTAATTCAAATCCACATCAAACAGAATTCAATTGACTTCGATCGTAGCCTTCCAATGCAGATAATTCAATTCAACCTTAGCCCTAAAAAAGTTAACCGAACATTACAGAGACAATAAATTTAGGAGATAATGCAATCGAAGACAAAGACAAACATACATCCATATAAAGGAACAATTTTTTGAGATAAAGTACCAGATTCAGGGGAAAATGAACAATTTTTGAAGCGGATCGTGATTTCGATCCGTTGAATCGAGTGGTTCGGGATACGAATTGTTGTTAGATCTGAAGAAAATTGACAAAGCAAAACCCTAATTGTGGATTCAATGCTGAAAGAGAACGCTCCGTCGATATTTTTCTCCTTCTCTCTCTGAAATTTGTTGGGAAAGATAACAATAGCTGAGCCTCGACGAAAGAGTAGGGTTTTATATAATAGACTTTTTTTGTGACACGGATTATGCATTAATCTATCTATATTATTGCCTCATAATATATTTTTTCAAATTAGCCAAAAGACTATCTACCCTCATGTTTATTGTTAAAAATAAATATTTTTTGTTAAATATATATATATATATATATATAAAACTTTATGACAAAAACATTTTTACAATTAATTCTGTTTGATTTAAAGAAATAAATTATAAAAGTAAAAATGATAAAAAATAAAATGAAATAAAATATGTCCTTTTGTACCAATTTAATTAGGTTAAGTTTGGTGAAAAATGAGGAAAATATATTAAAAAAAAAATTATGAGTTTATTTAGTATGAAAGTGATAGAATTTACAAGAAAGTTATTTTTTTTTTTACAACTTATGATAGCATGATAATTAAGTTTTTAATTTCTTACACATAAAAATAAAAGAAAATTTAAATTTGCTATAAAGGTGATAACTAGAGTTTCTATTTTCTTGTAAAATTCTTAGCTTAATTAAATTCATACATAAAAAATAATATTTTCTTTCCTTTTTTTTTTCTTTCATTTTATTTTTTACCATTTTAACACAAGTCATTTGAATAGGAGAGGGAGGGCAAAATATGGTAAAAAATTGGAAGAAGTGAGCAACACATTTTAAACTTGGGTGGCTAGTCGTAATTCAAATGATGATATAAGTTGGCAATTTGTTTAGGTTTTCCCACTAAACAAAAAGAGCTAATTATTCAAATAAATAAATAAAAAAATAAACCTAACTGCCTAGGCGGCACTTCCACATTGAATAAAAGATAAATAAAAATTAGGAATAGCAGACCAAAACAAAACTGAGAGGTGTGCAGAGAGACTCAGAGACATTTGTCTTCTTTCTGTCAAATTATTCAACTATCCTCCAAAAAAAATATTGTGGCATGTGTAAATAATGGTCTCAATTACTTACATTGCATAAAAAAATAAAAAATAAAAAATTAAATTAAATGGATTCATCCAAGCCATCAAGTTAGGTTAGATAAGATTCATTTTCGATCCATCCATTTCATAATTATTATTTTTATTGATCTGAAAACATTATATCAAATGTTGGTATCAAAAATTTCTGACACTTTAGTCTCTTTTGAAAAGATGAAAAAAATCTAACTTGTTAATTTATTGACTTATTTAGATCATATTATATTTTTATTTTTATTTTTATTTACATTTTTTCATAATAAATTAAAAAAAAAAAACGGTTCCAAAAATAAGCTAAAGTCAGCATCAAATTAGACCATACCATCATCTCATATTGCACATTGAGATCATCAAAACCAAGGTACATTTCATGAACTTCTTTCAGGGAGTTAGGTTAAGAATGTGATAGATTTCAATCATTTTTATTACATTAATTAACATGGCGTATATGCTTTGATTTTGGAGAAAAATTACAAATCAATGAAAAATAAATAAAATATATTTTTGTTAATTATGAGATATATGTTATAAAGCATGTATAATTATTTTAAATTTTGTTAACTACAAATACCCTCATAAACAAAATATATAGAAGTGCAAGTGTGTCTACATTTTGCTGCAAGTAAAATTGTAATCCTATCATATTATATATTCTTATTAAAAGTAACTTTTTTTTCTTTTTTTAGATGGCACATTTTAAAGGCTTGTTTTTTTTTCTAAAAAAGTCACATTAATATGCCTTTTTCATTTACATATAAAGTTCTACACAACTCAATTTATATTTTATATGAACTCTATTTAAAAATACTTACCTTCTATAGATTTTTCATTGTGTATTTAGTTTTGTCGTTGTCAGATTTATTTTATATAGTTAATATTTTAATTTGATTATTATGATATTTGAAAAAAAAAATTATCTCGATATACAAATAAATAAATAAGACAAAATGTGCTTAATTACGTATATTGCATAGATCAAATTAAATTTCTTTTATATTTTTTGTCTATCTTATTAATGTCTTAATATTAATTTATATTTAATTTTTTATTTAAAATGAAATTATTCATTACAAAATATTTATATTTATTTTAAATTGTGTATAACTATATACAATATGCATGAATAATTCAAAGAAAATATTAAACAAAAATAATCAATACTCTACATATTTAATTTATATATTTTCTTCCTAATCCAATCACAACATATTTATATTTAATTTTTAAATAAATTTTGTATAGTTCTATTTCTACATATTTTTATTTTTATAAAAATAAAAATAAAATTAAATAATTAGAATCACTTTTAGTTTTATATTACTAATTCCTTTTTTTAATTTAACTATTATTTTTAATATCAAAATGAGTGTTTATCTTATTATCTTATAATTTAATATATCTATATATATCATATAAAATTAAGTTTTTATTGCCAATGGGTAGAGTGGCAAAAATAATATTGTGAATGGGTAGAGTGGTAGAAATAATATTTTGGCTTGACAAAGTTTTGTCCAGTTTCACAGGCTTATTACTCACTCAGTTGTGTAGTTATGAATTATAATTAAAAAAATCACATATCTTTACGGTTAATTTTACATTTGATCAATTAACTGGTTTAAGAATTCCCAGTGGCAGAAAGTATATTAGGAAACTGCGTACGTATCAATTTGCTTACTAATTGATAGTTGTAAAGAGCATGCATTTATCTATTCTCTCTCTCAAATTTGCTTACTAATTGATAGTTGTAAAGAGCATGCATTTATCTATTCTCTCTCTCAAATTTGCTTACTAATTGATAGTTGTAAAGAGCATGCATTTATCTATTCTCTCTCTCAAATTTGCTTACTAATTGATAGTTGTAAAGAGCATGCATTTATCTATTCTCTCTCTCAAATTTGCTTACTTCTTTACGGTTAATTTTACATTTGATCAATTAACTTGTTTAAGGATTCCCAGTGGGCAGAAAATATATTAGGAAACTGCGTACGTATCAATTTGCTTACTAATTGATAGTTGTAAAGAGCATGCATTTATCTATTCTCTCTCTCAAATTGGTCCATCTATAAAACATGTATTGATACCATTTCGTCTAACAAAAATAATTTTGCTTACGTATGTAAGGTTGTGTTTGAATCATAATAACTTTATATTTCCCTCATTTTTTCTTTTTCCTTTTTAAATTTGCTTTCTGGTTCAACTAGGAAGACTTCTATACAAGAGTTATCATTTTATTGATAGGTTTTACTAAGTAAAACCTGTGTAAACTTCTCTCTTACATTCATGTTTAGAATCTTCGCTCAATGCTATTTTTCATGTGTGTTTCAACTAATGATGGGGTCAGAAGTATGCTTACCACTGATATATTCAGAGCTATTAGAGAAGTACGTGAATTTTGTGCTGAAAGAAGGGGATTAATTACAATACAAATTGAAAGAAGATTATTTGTTGTTATAACAATGTTCAAACCAAACCAAACCAAATTAAACCAAGTCTTTAGTCCCATTGCTATGACAATGTCATTGCAAAAAATTGTGAAACATGCAATTATAACTCTTAAACATGGGTTTGTTGAGTTTTTTTGGTATTGTTCAAATTGAAACCGTAAAATCATCTGATTCAATAATATTATATTAAGCTATTCATGCATTTGTTATTGTTCTTCAAATTATTTTTATTACTGTAATGAGTTCATTTTTTTGTCAAATTAGAGTTGCTTTTAAAGAATCATTTTGTTGATTTCTCATATGTATTTTGATATGATTTCTCATAGCTATTGGTTTTTTAAAGTGAATTTAAGTGAGTGATTTTGTTGTAGGTGGCTGATCCATATTGGAAACGTTGGGTTATGTTGCTTCTCCTTATGTGTGTAGTTGGTTGGCTCTCATTCTAAACCGGATGGTTAATTATTATTATTATTTTTAGTTAGATAGGATGATTACTCTTTTATACAAAAATATTCATTGACCTTTTCTTGAAGGTATTGAAATTTGATAAACTGAAAAGGTTACCAGTTATGATACTAATTCAGTAACATCCTTTTATTGAAGATTTGCTATACATGTGTCATTTTAACATGGATTGAATTCTAAAATTTGTTGTTTGGGCTTGAATTTTAGCAAATATTTTTAGATTCTATTATTTGCTTAAGCTACACTGTAATATAAAATTTATTATTTGGACTGTAATTTTGAAGTTTGTTATTTGAAATTTATGAATGTTTTTGCCAGTTTACTATGTAGAAACAATTTCAACTTCTTATTTGTGAAGTATTAAACTGGAATGATATATCATTTTAAATTGATTTATTACAATTGAATTCCGTAGCCTGTGTGGTACCAAAAAAATTATTGACCATGCCTTCAGGCACAGGTTATCCCTAGTATATATATATCATATAAAATCATTATATGATAATTACACATTTATAATACAATAGAACTAAAATTATCAAAATAAACAAATAATTTAACCAAATTTATTATATATAAGCATTCAAGTAACACTTTTATAGAACAATAATGCTAAGGTTATTAAAATAAATAATTTTAATTTTAATTTTAATTTAATTTTAAATTAAAATTAATATTATTCTTTTGTAACATATATCATAGTATAAAATATTATTACATTAATTAAAGTTAACTCCATTGTGATTTTATATGAGACAAGATATTTCTAGAAGTGATTTACATACATGTGTAGCATTCAATTTAATATTGATTGATTAAAATAATAGAACTTAATACTTTTTTTATTAAGTTTTTAAAAGATAATTGACAAATGCCAAATGATAAATAGTGTAATATTATTTTGAGAATAATGATTCATCAAAAATGATTGTATATATTTAAGGCACCTATTGATGTTTCTTAAATAATTTTTAATTAAAATTTTTGAATATATAATATTACTAATAATGCATCTTCATGAGTTCTTCCATAAGAGATATGCAAAAATAATTTGGCTGTAATAAAAAATTTGCAGTTATTATGTTGTGTTACATAATTAATCAGAACCCTTTTGAGAA